CAGCAGCCGGGGGAGGGGCGCTGGTGAGCCATACTTCTGTCTCCCCTTCCCACGCTAACCATCTCCAGTTAAAGGGTACGGTTTCTAGTTCACAAGTTTCCCTTCCCCTTCAAGTCTTCGTTGATTCAGGGGCTGATGAACATTTTATTGACTCTGACCTGGTTTTCCAGTCTAATCTCCCCTCAGAACTCCTGCCCGAGCCCAAGAACATTTTTTCCCTTGATGGTAGGCTTCTTGCCCGTGTAACTCACCATACTGCCCCAGTGTCATTGTTACTCTCAGGTAATCATCACGAGACCATTTCCCTTTATCTCATTCCCTCACCCCTTTCTCCGCTGGTGTTAGGTCTCCCCTGGCTTAAACTCCACAACCCACACATAGACTGGGCCACCTTATCCATCGTCAATTGGAGTTTGTTCTGCCACTCTCACTGTTTACACTCTGCCATACCCACCACTGTTACTTCAAAACCTGTTCCCCCCAGACCTGTTGACCTCACGTCAGTTCCCTCTGAGTATCATGACCTCCAGGAGGTTTTCAGCAAGGATCGTGCCCTGCCTCTACCACCTCATCGACCTTATGACTGTGGCATTGACTTGCTCCCCGGTGCTCCCTTGCCTTCGAGCAGACTTTATAATATCTCCAAGCCGGAGAGGGAGGCCATGGAGACTATGCTTAACAGATTTGTCTTTGTATCTTGATGATATCCTCATTTTCTCTCGTGACCCCCAAGAACATGTCCAACACATGAGGTTGGTGCTGCAGAGACTTCTGGAGAACAGACTTTATGTTAAGGCTGAGAAGTGTGCCTTTCATGTTTCCTCTGTTTCATTCTTGGGTTTTGTGGTAGAGAAGGGACAGGTCAGAGCCGACCCTGCCAAAGTCATGGCAGTGGCCGAATGGCCCACTCCTACAACGAGAAAGCAACTCCAAAGGTTTCTTGGTTTAATCACCCAGCATGTTTTTAGATTGCATGGCATTCCTCTGGACATTGTTTCTGACAGGGGTCCGCAATTTGCCTCTTGAGTCTGGAAAGCCTTTTGCCAGGCATTGGGGGTGTCGGCCAGTCTGTCATCAGGTTACCACCCGCAGACCAACGGCCAGACTGAGCGTGCGAATCAGGACCTGGAGGCAGCCCTTCGCTGTGTCTCTTCTCACCATCCAGTCTCCTGGGCCTCCCACCTGCCTTGGGTTGAATATGCCCACAACTCCCTGGTTTGCTCCGCCACAGGAATGTCTCCATTCATGGCTTCTGTTGGGTTCCAACCCCCTCTCTTCTAAAGTGAATGCACCTCCGATCAGACTAAAAGCGGAAGACGCCAAAGGGAAATATGTTTAGCTTGTGGATCTGGTGAAGGTAACTAATGGCGCGTTTCCACTGCAGCGGGTAGCTCGCTTTAAGCGCGCCTAGCCGTGCGGGGCCCGTTTTTGGTTGCGTTTCCACTTGGCCTAGTTTTGGCCCGAGGCTACTTTTTTACCCTTTTTCTGGCCCGACTAAATCGTGGTTCTATCGAGGCCAACAAGCGGGGCCAACAACCGGGCGGAATATGCTAAACTAGTGACGACTGCTGATTGGTCAGAGAGAATCGTCACAATTCTCGCGCGACTTAATCTCTAGTGTCGCATATATCAAGGGACGCTTGCAGCATTTTTGTAAACCTAAGAAAATGGCAAAGAAAAACATACCGTGGTCGATTGACGAAGTTGCGACGTTCCTCCAGCTGATTGCAGATGATACAATCCAGCGGGAGCTCGACGGCACAACTCGCAACCTAAACGTTTTTCAGGAGGTCTCTGCACTGTTGTCCGAGCGCGGATTCTCAAGGACTTTCCAGCAGTGTAGGGAAAAACTGAAAAAGCTTAAGAGTGAGTATAGAGCCGTGAAGGACCACAACGGCCGGAGTGGTTCAGATAGGAAAAGCTGGAAGTGGTTCGACCTGTTGGACGCTATTTATGGCCATAGCCCGGCCAACGTTGGGATGGAGGGAGGGAGGCCTGGACTCTGCAACCGCGTTACTGGAGTCCCTGCATGGTAAGTCTTTGCTAACGCTCTGTTATTTGCTTGAAAGCGTTGTGTCCCTATCTATTCTAAAGCTCACTTCTAACAAACAAGTATTTTATCCTTACATTTATGTTCGACAACCCATGCTTTTATGGAGCCCCGAAGAGCTACATAGCTAGCTGGCAGATAGCATTAGCTAGAGCTATTGTTTGCTAACACCACATGCGCCATTGTTTAGGTTCTTCTTTTCTACAGTTGTTGTTGCCATGGCCGTATCCACCATTGAGGTCACCGAGGTCCGGACCTCGGTAATATTTTTCGAGCTGTGTAACAAAACTTGTGAAATAATTACACTAAACGGGGTTCTTTGTAGTACTTCCATTTACTGACGATAGGGGCGCTGCATAACTACGTAGCCTCGATTAAAGCAAACAGAAGAAGACGACATGTATCAACAAATCACCGCAGACCGGACTTGAACCGGAGCAGCGGAGGAGTGATGAGGTATCTAGAGATCTGAGTCCAGCGGGCTGCTTGTGTTTCTGTTCATCAGGACATCATATAAGCAGCAGATCCTGTGTGAACGCTCTACGTTAGTCAGTGGACGTCCGACAACATGCACACTAACTTATATTGCAGCTATAGGCTATACTTTGGTTTAAATAGCGTGAATAAACTAGCTAGAGAGCTACAGTTAATTACATTCATCCAATGTCAGAAGGATTACCTTTTAACAAACATTGTAATGCTTTTCTTTTATTTCAATTTGAGTAAAACATTGAAGATATAACATTGTTTTGTTTTGTTTTTACACTGACTCAGATATAATGAAAAGACTACGTCAGTCGAAGCTCAGCTTTGGTAAGGAAGAGACAGGACAGGCAGAGAGAAAGAGAGAGAGAGAAAGTGATGGAAGTCAGGGAGGAACTGCAGGTACAGTCACACAAAAGAATGTAGGCATAATAACCCCTTCATTTTAGCCTCTTCTGCATGTCCAGATCATTAATAGTAACAATCAACTGATTCTTATTATGTATTACACTTTCAAATAATTGATGCTGACATTGTCAGCCCACTGACATGGTTTGAAATCGATATATTATCCAATTTGTGACCCCCCATAGGACTTAAAAAGCACCATAACTAGATCATGAAAATCCCAAAAATCTCGGGGGGTATCCCCCAAACCCCCCTAGCATGTTTGGACCTCGGTATTTAGGAAATTCTGGATACGGCCCTGGTTGTTGCTATTTAGTATTGTGCTACAGTAGTTTGTGGAATTAACAAGTCATGTTGCTGTTCTAGATGATGCCATTGGGACTAGTGAGGAGGAACAGTCCCGAACAACGGGTGGTGGCAGTGTTCCGTCCTCAACATCATCAGAACACACCTCAACTCGACCACAGACACCAGTCGAAGAACCGACACCAACGCCGAGTGCCATCACGACACCGCAGCGTGTGGTTCTAGGTAAGAAATAGGCAAGGCAAAACTTTAGATCATCCATCGTCATTAAGTAAAATAAGCTATACCACTGTGTGGAAATGCTCTGTTACAAACTAGCTAGTACGCAGCTAGTACAATTGTTTGTGACATCCTATTATATACATATACATTATCAACAGGCTGGACATAATGTAATTCACTTTCACAATCATTGTAAACATCTAGGGCATAACTGTCTTTAGTTCATCCTTACTGTTGTTCTGCTTATACATTGTATTGTATCCTTGTGTGACCTGTACCTGTCCTCTGTTTTTCATTGTTATTGCTAATTCTTATTGCTATAATTATCTTATCGTCATACAGGCAAGAGGAAACGAGGAGGAGACGAGCACCTTGCACAGCAGGCACGGCACCATGAACAGAGCCTGGCCCAGGTGGATCGGCACTGGCAGCTGACCATGGAGGCTGTTGCCCGGGCGAGGGAGGAGGAAATGGCCTTGAGAAGGGAGGAGAACGCTCAAACTCATGCGTTTAACCTGGCCTTCCTGCGCACTCTCGGCCAGGTTGTAGGGGGCAGCCGACGTGGCCCGTCTCCTCAGGAAGACGAACCACCTCTGTAATTTTAATATTATTCAGTTTCATCTCTTGTTTTTGTTAATTTTTAAATGCAACATTTATACTTTCTTGTTTATTTCTTATCTTTCCTTTTTTTTTTTTATAATGCCATATCTATTTATGCTGCTGCAATACAAACATTTTTTTATTTTGTATTTGTACAATGCCATGCCTTTTTATGCTGCAACAAAAAACACTTCCCAAATTGGGATTCAATAAAGTACTTCTCATCTTATATCTTGTTGATAAATGCATCATCTGATTAACAAACTTATTTCCGTGAGCATGTAAACAAAGTCACTGGGTGGCCACTCACACACAAAATTACAGCTTTGGAATCCAATCATAAACTGAAATGTACAATTAAAGGGCTTTAAATCAGCAGAACAAAAACTCAGATTCACATGAGGCAGAAGTTATAGGCCTATATTTTTCCTAAATAAAAATAGGCTACAACTAATACAATTACTAATAATATTTGTGGATCTTTAAAAACAAGCCTACAATATCACTCAAAAACAATTGTAAAAATAGCCCAATTAAGATCTAGAGATATAAACATACATGCATTTATAAAGCAATAAGAAACACCATCAGTTAGGAAAAAGCCCATAAGATAAAAGTTAATTTTAAGAAGAGATTTAAAGCAAGAAATTGAGTTTGCTTGCTTGAGGTCCCCCCTCTAAAACATTATTTGGTAACTGACACATTACTTAAAGTAACATATTTCCTTTTACAAATAAATTGGAAGGGGGTATTTAGAAAAAAACAGAAAGAGAAGGGGGATAAGAGATCATTTGTATTTATGTTTACTTTCATATTTGCTCAAATGTTCTTATTATGGGGAAGTACTTACTGGTGCTTGAAAATCAAATATTTACTAAATAGTCAATTCTGATAACATTTTTTTGTTTAAATCATTTGACAAACACATATGTGAAAGAGAAAAATAGATTTATTTATGTTCAATACAATGTAGTAATAATAAAAACAAAACAAAATGTCACTAGCCTTAATGGCCCACAATCTTTCAATGTCGTGTTTATAATGACAAACACAAGAAATGTATATCAACTTACTGAACCATGATGTTATGAACCAAAAACATTCAAGTTTCCTGTATACAATGAATATGTAGCTTTTCAGGTAGCGCATCAAACTCTAAGCCGGTCGCAAGCTTCCACATTGCGATGGCCACCCTCTTCTTTAGAGGTATACACTCGCGGAATGGTGTGTCCTGTCTCCATCGCTGGCCGCAGTTTGTTGCACAGGTATACGTAGGTTTCCTCAGACATCCTGAGTGTGTGTGAAAGATGGAACAATCACACCCCACCACTCGGTTGCTCGGTCAAGCATCCAAACACATGGTCTGCGGTGGCAACCTAACTTCTGAAATACACAAACAAAAGCATACATATTTTAATACGTAAAAGTGGTAGCTACAATTAATTAAATACTTGAAACACTTTTGTCATATAATGAGCATGAAACACTTTGGTCGTATAGTGAGAGTGAAACACATTGCTAGTTAGCGAACGTTAGCTTACCGAGTAGCGTTGTCGTTGAGTCGTCCTGGAGTAGTCTCTGCCGCGTTGTACGATTGCCATAAGTCTCCCCTCAGCTTCTTCTGTATTACGTCTTGCTATAAGCAGCCTTTTCCGAAACAAAGTTTTCCTTCTTGCTGTGATAAAAAACCACATACCAAGAAGCAAGGACACGATGGCTTCCACATCCTCCATTGTTTTGTGAGTTGTGTCGCATTGAAGATGACATCACGGCAGTTGTATGCAGCGTCGTTCCGCCCGCCAAAAAGCTGATCGCCCCGCCTACACTGCGTTACTATGGTAACTACCCCAGTTCCTAAACTGTAATGGAAACGCAGCATTCAAGTGAGCCGGGCTAAACCAAACCGAGCGAGGCCTGCAGTGGAAACGCGCCATAATGGCGCGTTTCCACTGCAGCGGGTAGCTCGCTTAAGCGTGCCGAGCCGTGCGGGGCCCGTTTTTGGTTGCGTTTCCACTTGGCCTAGTTTTGGCCCGGGGCTACTTTTTCACCTTTTTTCTGGCCCGACTAAATCGTGGTTCTAGGGCCAGGAACAACCAGGCTGAGTCGGGCTGAGTATGCTAAACTAGAGAGAGAATCGCTGGCAAGGGGGCTACAACTACAAGAAGATGAACATATTTGACCGTGATTTAATTGTAATACACGTTTCAAAATGATGCCGAAGTAACAACATACTGATACCGGTCATCCGGGTCATGAATTAATGCTTTGACATCTGCTTCCATGGAATCCTGAGGTCCTGTTCATTCATATCATTCTTAGGTTTAGGTTGAAACACAAAAATATATCTTGTATATATCCATTTAGAATCATTATATTTTGTTCTGCGCTACATATAACCCTGAAATCCTCACATCCAGGCATTTACAAAAGATATTGCTATAACCTATTGTTAAGAAATGCCAGTGGTCGTAAAGAGCCAAATGCCTCACAACTCTTGTTTAGTTTTGTCATTTATGAAGCTGCATATTTCTGATTCTCCAGCTTAACTCTTGACTCTAAAACCTGCATGTGCACAAGTGTTTTAGTCAGGCTATCATCAATCAACTGACAGGTTCAGTAGGTATGTTTCATTTAGACAACGCCGTAAACACCATCTCATGTGTTTGCTTTAACCGTTTGTTTATTTTCAACTGTAAAAACACTGTTTTGCTCTGCCGCTGTAAGTTTCCTGCCCTTTTTTTCTTTCTAAAGTGAATAACTATGCCACATTTCAATGGAAATTAAACCATTGCTAAGATATTTCAATGTGGACCAAAGTTGCCATCCCTTAAGCCATGCCATGGCTGAAAAAACTCATGTCAGATCATTTATCCAATGCCCCCGACGCTGAGGTGATGCAAAGGGGTTTATTTATGTCAAACATTAAAGGGGCTCCACACTGTAGCACATACCGTTTGGCTAACCTAATGGCGCGTTTCCACTGCAGCGGGTAGCTCGCTTTAAGCGTGCCGAGCCATGCGGGGCCCGTTTTTGGTTGCGTTTCCACTTGGCCTAGTACCGGCTAGCGGGTCCTAATTCACAGTTTTTCTGGCCCCATCAAATTGTGGTTCTAGGGCCAGGAACAACCAGGCTGAGTCGAGCTGAGTATGCTAAACTAGAGAGAGAATCGCTGGCAAGGGGGCTACAACTACAACAAGATGAACATATTTGACCGTGATTTAATTGTAATACACGTTTCAAAATGATGCCGAAGTAACAACATACTGATACCGGTTAGTAAAAACCATGAATTAATGCTTTGATAAGTCTGCAGACAGACGGCAGGCGAAAAATCCTTTTAAAATGCGTGTTTTCTAAATGTAGCTTGGCTAAGCTAACGTTATATATGCTCCGACCGTCCACACTCACAACAACGGCCTATACAGACATAAATAAACCAGCGACTGTATTTGCCATGACACAGGCAGTCTGTGGTTTGTACTTGTTTAACTTTTGTCTAGTTTCTGAACAGATATGAAGAGCTGTGAGCTCTGAGTGCTAAGAGCTAATGGCTGTGTTGTTTTTCTGGGGCTCTCATTGAAGATGATGTCGTTCAATGGACAGCTCCCCCCCCCCCCTTTTATGTATATACTCGCATTTTAGACTCTGTTACTAACTGTATATCTGTAGACTTGGTATGTCTTAAATGTCCGGTTAGGATGTATTAGAACGAAATCTAAAATGAAAATTGTAAATAAGCAATCTGTATGTAAAAAACCACCTGTATGTAAATTGTAAATAAGCCATCTGTATGTCAAATATGTCTTATGTCTTAAATGATATGATGAATTGGAAATGGGGGACCCTGATGTAAACAAGACGAAAGTCTTTCTCTGGTCTGCATCCCCTTAACAATTGTATGTTTTGAGCTGTACTGTACTGTACCCAATATACAAGCTGTTAATAAACTTTTCAATCAATCAATCAAAAGTGAGCCGGGCCTAATAAGGCCTAACCAAACCGAGCGAGGCCTGCAGTGGAAACGCGCCATTAGTTTTGTCGGTCACATAGGGACAAAAATAGCTAATGGCTATTTTTGAGTTTGAAAGAGAGCTCTGCTTGTTGGGACTTGCCAGAGGCTTAAGTGCCCTCAGATAGCATTTTATACAGGAATAATTATATATTCAGATGTTATATACAGTTGGTGAACTCTAACGTTCATGGTGTTGCAGAAGGCATTTCAAAGACTAAGATAGGGTTAGAGTATTTGAGACTTGAAATATCAGGTAAGAAGTGATTAATTCACATATGGAATACAGTTTATAGTTTTGTTCAATTAGATTATAAAGTTTCAGATGGTCACTGGCAGTATGAGCTAGATCAGTGGTTCCCATTTATTTATTTTTTTAGCGTTACATGATTGTAATGATGATGATAAAAGCCTTGTCTCTACATTACAATAAAATATATAAAAAAATTGATTAATTAATTTTAATAAAAATTCAAGTTAGTAGCTATTAAAGGTGGGGTAGGTAATTTTGGAGAAACCAGCTCGAGTGGGCTAGAATTTGAAAATACACAGCCAGAAAAAATCTGCCACTTCCTTACAGAGCCCCTCCTCCAACACACACGTGACCAATGAGGTCACGAGATAAGTTTGTGCACAGATGGAAGGCTGGCCGGGCCGCGTCTATCATTTTTCCAACCCAGTTTAGATGTAACCACGCCCACTTCCGCATTACGCAAGAACGTAGCTCTACGCGATAGCGTCATATTGATTGATTGATTGAAAAGTTTATTAACAGCTTGTATATTGGGTACAGTGTACAGCTCAAAACATACAATTGTTAAGGGGATGCAGACCAGAGAAAGACTTTCGTCTTGTTTACATCAGGGTCCCCCATTTCCAATTCATCATATCATTTAAGACATATAAGACATATTTGACATACAGATGGCTTATTTACAATTTACAAACAGGTGGTTTTTTACATACAGATTGCTTATTTACAATTTTCATTTTAGATTTCGTTCTAATACATCCTAACCGGACATTTAAGACATACCAAGTCTACAGATATACAGTTAGTAACAGAGTCTAAAATGCGAGTATATACATAGATGGGGGGGGAAGCTGTCCATTGTACGACAGGTTGAGATTTGTACCATTACCGGGGCCAGTTTTGCAATGCTCTCCCCCGAAGGTGCTCTTTAAGAGAGGTTTTGAAGGTAAGTATAGTTTTACTTTCCTTTACAGTTGTGGGAAGAGCGTTCCACCTTGATGTGGCATAATTGCGAAACGTCTATTCCCCCTTTTTTGTGCCAAAGCTGGGTTTCACATGATTTGTGGAGCTCCCTCTGGTGTTATGATCATAGTATTCCTTGACCTTTGGAAATAATGTTGACATGTACATGGGTACCATAGAGGTATAGTGGATCTTGTAGACCAGGCCCATTGCAAGTAGCTGTACTCTGTCGTCTACTCTAAGCCATCCTAGGTTGTCAAAGTGGGCAGAGGTGAGGTGGGTTCTAGATGAAAGGTCAAGCAGTAGTCTGACCAGTTTATTTTGCGATGTGTGAAGTTTTATTTTTAACGCCTTGGAGGTGCTATGGTACCATGACGTGCAAGCATAGTCATAGTACCCTTGAATGAGTGCTCCTGCCAGAGTTTTATGGGTGTTTTTGTTTACCAGAGAGGAGATCCGGTATAGGAATCTAGTTCTTTGATTGACTTTTTTTATTACATTGGATGCCATTTTGTCACAGGAGAGGTTTGCCTCAAGAATAGATCCTAGGTATGTAATTTCCTTCTTACTTGTGATAATAATGTCACCCACTGCAACTGAGAAGTCGTCGGATTTGCTGAGATTATGTTTCGAACCGAAGAGAATGGACTCTGTTTTACCCAGGTGTAATGATAATTTATTATCGGCGAGCCAGGTGCAGATTCTGCCGAGCTCGGAGCTGAGGGTTTTTTCAACCTGCAATCTGCTCCTGTCAGAGACCAGCAGGGCTGAGTCGTCCGCGAACAGGAACAAGTTGCAGTCACATGCTGATGACATGTCATTTGCATAAATTAGGAACAGTAACGGACCTAATATGCTTCCTTGTGGAACACCACAGCTCACTGGGAGGGGGGGGGACAGAGTACCGTTTACCTCCACCATCTGTTCTCTCCCCTCCAGGTAGGACCGCATCCAGCTCACCGATAGTTTATCAAAACCAATTGCTTTTAGCTTGTCAATCAGAATGGGGTGATTGACAGTGTCGAAAGCCTTTTGTAGGTCCAGCATCACCATGCCGCAGTACTTGCCCTCGTCCACCTCTTGTTTGATGTGGTCGCTCAAATAAAGAAGGCATGTGTCAGTGGAGTGGGATGTTCTAAAGCCAGATTGAAATTCAAAGATTAGTTTATTTTCCGCGAGGTACTTTTCGACCTGTTCATATACTATTTTTTCCATGACTTTCGAGATGGAGGTAAGTATAGAAACAGGGCGGTAGTTGCCTGGGTCCAATTTGCTGCCCTTTTTGTGCAGGGGGGTTACTCTTGCAATTTTTAAGTCTTTGGGTACTTTTCCCTGTTTTATGGAGAGGTTAATTATGTGAGCTATGACTGGTGAGATGGCGGTTGCTGTGTCTCTGAGGAATTTGGAGGGGATATTGTCGTGGCCAGTGGCCTTGTTATGTTGGAGGGCGCTCAGTTTAATGAGTACCTCTGCTGTTGTTACCCTTGATAGACTGACATCATCTTT